AAAAAAACTTATTGGAATAAATGAAACACTAATTTGTTATTTTAGTCCATTTCGACGTTCAAAAGAAACATGTGAATTAATATGTGAAGCATTTTCAAAAGAGAAAATTTTAAAAATACGAGAAGATCCACGTATAAGAGAACAAGAATGGTAAATAATAAATGCATAGAATCATTGTTTAAGCTTAAGGATTGGTTTCTTTTTGTGTTTTTCATAGGGGAAATTTTCAAGATCTAGCAAAACGTGAAATAACAGTGGCTGAAAGACAAAAAATTGGACGATTCTTTTATCGATTTCGAAATGGTGAATCCGGTGCTGATGTATATGATCGTGTTAGTTCATTTATGGATAGTTTATTTCGTGAAATGGATGGTAATTTAATGCCAAATAGTAATATATTAATTGTTAGTCATGGTTTATTTATGAGATTATTTTTAATGCGTTTTTATCGTTGGTCAGTAGAAAAATTTCATACATTAGAAAATTTTAATAATTGTGGTTATTGTATTTTGGAAAGAGATGATCAAGATGGAAGTTTTATACTTAAAACAGAGCTAAAAATTTTTCCTGAACGAAAACGAACTGCAATGAAAGATTTAAAAGAAAAGTTTAGTGAACAGAGCTTTAATGAAGAAATTATTACAACTTCTTATACAAGGGATACCAAAAATGATGAAAAAAAGAATGATTAGAAAAAATTTCTTTTTTTTGTGTATGTTTATTTAAATCAGAAAAATAAACTTGTTTACAAAAAAGTCTACTCGAACAGAAATGATGAGTAAAATGAAGTCTTGTGTTTGTTTATTTTTTTGTAAGCGTGACATAGTAAAAAATATTATTTTTCACAAAAAATTGTTATTTGGTTTAGTTTTATGAACAACAGTAAGAAAAGAAAGACAATCATTTTTATTCTCAGATCTCCTATCATTGTTTATGAGTATATGATTATAATGATCGATGCAAAAGTTTTTGGACAAATGTTAAAAATGATTTCGTAACACTCGAACAGTAGTTTTACTTTCGACTTATCACAAAAAAATTTCAAGACGAAGCAACGTGAAAATGTAATTGCAACCTAATGTTTCCGTATTTTTGATTGGTGAGTTTACAATATTGTTTGTGACAAAGTTTGAATTAAGCATAGCCATGACTAAAACTTGTCAAATTTTCTCACGTCCTCTCATTCGAGTTTATTGCTTGAGTGTAACTGATGATCCCAAAGTAATTGGACAAAATGTTCATTCCATTTTCCGCCTGGTAAAGGGGTCTAGAGAAGTTTAAAATCCTTAGATTAGAATGAAAATTTTGTATTTTTGCCGAGTATTGCTTCAAAATTTTTGTAAGACTTCTAATTTAGAAGTTGTTAGCTGACCTTTCAGAGGCGTAAAAATCAAGTGTGAACGAAGAAACTGAACGGTTTTTTTAGCAAATCTCTTCTACTACATTCGTTACATTACTGATTTATCTACACAGAATTAAAGAAAAGATTTTTCTTCCAAGTTCAGAAGGTATGGAAAATTCTGGCAGGAAAGCAAAGAAAATTGATAGGATTTGGAAGTCGTAATCTGAATTGAAAAGTCTCTGGGTTTTTCGGTGACTAATGAACATTCTTTTAAATTATTTTTCAATCGGTCATCAGTCAGAAAATAATTTAAACAACAAAACGGCATTTTTTAATACTAACGAAACATAAAATCAAGTGACAATTACACGATCTAAAATGAATTCATTCAAAGCTTTTTTATAAGAGATGAAAGTTTCCATCAACAAAAATCTATGAATCTTGAGAAAGAAACGAATAATTAAATGCTTCTCTCATTTATTATTTTCTTAAGTAAAATAATTTGAGAATATGCTTTTATTAAAACGAATATTTTTTAAAACTTTTATTTCGAATATATTTCAATCATTTTATTAATAATTTCTTGTAATAATTAGATGCTTTAGAAAAATCAAAATAGTTAAACTTAATTAAAAATGAAATTGCATCCATCGAGGAGATGCATGTTTCATTTTCTTTTGTTTAAGACAAGCTGGATTAGGTACAAAAGTTGAAGGTAATATTGGACCAATTCTTCCTTCAACATAATTAATTCGTTCACCACTTGGTCGTGATATACTCGATGGTAAACACTTATCTGAAGCATAAGTTTCAAAAAGAAATTCTCCATTACGCCATTGGTTACATTGATGACTTGGTCCAAATGGTGATGAACAAGGAATATCAGCAGCAACAAAATCTTCACTTTGATTATATTTATTACCAAAACACCAATCATTCCAATAATCTAATCCATAAAGATCACATTTGCCAGTATTACGATTATAATAATATTGATAACCTGATGTAAAATTCATCCACATATCAAACACACTATCATAAGTTGTATTACCATGACCACCATTAACAGTAACAGTAACACGCATTTGTCGAGCTTTTTGATCATAAAAAATCAGACCTTCCGATCGATAATCAATAGCAGGTATAGAATGGAAAAATGCATTTACATAACTGTCAGGTACACAACAATCATGTGGATCATCATTTCTTTGTTTATTTATTTTTTTAATTAATTCAATTTTATGTTCTTTGTCTTCTTTTAATGTATTCAATGAACCTTGTGTTAATTTTATATCAGAACATTGATGAAAAGTAGTTCCATGATCTGCCTCTTCTGGATTATTTGATAAATAACGAACACGTAAAACACATTCATTACATGGTTCATTTGGTAAATTTATTTCAATTGAAAAATTTGTTTGTGTTATTTGATTCATTGAATTGTAATCCGAAAATGAATGTAGTACACGAAAATCATTTTCAGATGGATTAAGACCTACAGCAAAGGAAACATCAAGTGTACCAGGTTGGCCTGTATAATAATGATTAAGATTTTGTTGAAATTCAACATTATATTTGCTACCAGCTACTAATGATGTACGTGGTGATGATGATGATGCATTAATATTACCACATGGTGCTATTTTACGATAACATGGATGAGCTCCTGGAGTCGAAATATCAAATTCACCACGTTGCATTGGTGACCAAAGACACATATGCATATGAACACCATTACCAATAATAACAAATACAAAAAGATAGAATATAAGATGCATTTTCGCTGATGGTCTTAGTTGGTAATAAATAAACTGATAAGATTTTAGTTACTGTTTTTTTTTTATGTTAGAAAATACTTTATCACTAACTAAACAGGTGTTTTATCTTCTTGACGAAGGCTTTTTTTTATTACGCGATGACGTATATCGATTAAGATATGTATGATAAGAACTTGTGATAAAGAAACGATCTGTGTTTAGAAAACAGATGTAACGAATTTATTAAGAAATATAAACATGTACTATATAATAAACGAATCGATGTGCTGAATTTTGTTTTTTTCTATTGTTATATTATATAGGATGTCCAGAAAGTCATTAGAGTTAGAAAAATTTGTATATCTCCATTACCGCTCGACCAAACGAGCTCATTTTTTTTTTTACCAAGGATAGAGGCATGTTCACACTCCAAATCCATACGGACAAGGGTATTGAGAATCTTTGTTAAGTATCACTATTGACCTCAACAAGAAAATTTTACTGTTTCACAGGTAGGAAAAAACAACATAGCAGATAGTACAAAAGACACTTTATTCAAAAGAAAATTGAATATCTCCATTACGGCTCGAGCAAACCAGCTGATATTTTTCCCAAGGATCCAGGCATATTCATACTCCAAATCCATACTGACAAGGTTAGTGAGAACCTTTGTTAAGTATATTGTTTTTTTCCTGTCTGTGAAAAAATAAAATTTTCTTGTTGAGGTCAATAGTGATACTTAACAAAGATTCTCAATACCCTTGTCCGTATAGATTTGGAGTGTGAACATGCCTCTATCCTTGGTACAAAATGAGCTCGTTTGGTAGAGCGGTAATGGAGATATTCAAATTTTCCTAACACTAATAACTTTCTGGACATCCTATATACTATAAAAAAAACAAAAAATGTCTTTATTTATTTGTTAAAATTCCATTGTTAGTTCTCATTGTTTGTTTGGTTATAGTTTTTGCTGTTGTTGTTAATTGCTGATCAGCTACTAATAAATCAATATAATTTTTTAAACGTTTTCCACGTTGTTTCGTCCATAATCTCCAATCATTCATAGCAAGAATTTGTACAACATTTTGTATGGCACTTAATACTGTAAATACAACTGTAAACATAGATGCATCATGTGATAAATATGAATTAATATCAAATAAATTATTTTGTTGCTCATTACTCATTAATGAACAATGTATAACGGGATATTGAGAATTGGATGATAAACACATAGCTAAACCATTATTTATATTACCAAGTGTAACAAAAACTGTTGGACGACAATGTTCATGGGCATAATTCGATAGAAATTTTAATACAGCTTGAGTAGATTTATATATTGAACAAAGACGAATATCACATTGAATATTATAAGTTTCATGAAGAGTTATTTTCATTTTTTGTCCTTGTTCAATATCATGCAATGATGAACAAACTATAATACAACGACTTGTTGCTAATGGTGAAAAAGATGATGAATAAATATTTAGTGATGATATGTCTTTGTGTATATCAATATGATCATCCTCTGGAACAATAGAATTCAATGATTTTTCATCATCATCTGTTTCTGCTTCATTTAATATTAATTCTTGTCTGTGTTGAACAAAGCTTCGACGTGTTGAACCGGTTTTACTTGGTAAAGGAATATTAATATTTAAGTTAAGTAGATCTCTTAAAGCATTGTTTATCCAGATAAGATTTTCTTGCATAACATCATTTCCTAATACAGTAGTTTTTTGTATTGGTGGTCGTAAAATATGCCATGTTTCAATATCGAATGTATTTGCAACAACAATCTCTTTTGTTATAGTTGTTGTTATTCCAAATTCAACTTTTAAATCAATTAATTGACAATTTTTTTTCACCATCCATACATGTTCAAGTATATCAAATATAGTACAACACGTTTCATACATATATTCAATTTCAGTTTGCGTAATTTTTAAATCTTCAATATCAAAATGTGCATTAAGAAGTTGTTCATAAGACCATATTGATGATAGACATTCATCGGAATCAGAATCTTCTTCATCTAATAAACTTTCACAGGAAGAGTCAAAACTATCATCAATATTTCCTGTTGTTAAACGTCTGTAGACAAGTGGATGACGTTTATGATAAATTTCAACAATAGGTGGAACAAATCGATGTCCGTTGATGATTCCTGGATTACGTTGAACATATGTTTCATTAGCTAAACGACGAATAATCCATAATATTGGTATCATTGTACATTTTCTTGCAATGAACATGTCCGGTTGACGGTGCGGTGCAACATAAAATGTTGGAATTGATGCTTCACGTAAAATTTCATAAACACATGCTGTTATTGACGTAGTTAATGCACCTTTACCAGGAATTTCAATATATAAATTTGAATTAATACTATTATTATTATTACTATGAAGAGTTTGTTGTTGATTGAAACGAATTGAACTATCAACACTTGTTCGACGACTACCTGGAATACTTAATATTCCACGTGATGTTTGATAATAATCTTTTCGATAAATACAAATAAGACCAGGTTGATCAATCATAGAATAAATTGTTTTCGTTTTACCATCAAATAATTTTTGTCCAAGAATATCATTTGTAGATGCAGTCATTTGTCTTAAAGAGAACAATGAAGTTCCTTCTTTTATGGATATGTCTCTGTATCGATTGATATATAGATGTGTTTATCGGATCAATACCTTAATAATTGTTTTCAGATGTTCGACACCTTCTCTGATATCAGCAAGTTCTATCTGTTTTTTCGTTGAGACGCATCCTTTATCCTTATAAGAATAGTACTGTAATGATGATAATAATAAACAAGCAGCTGCTAGTAAAGTTGTATACTGATATCGTCCTCTGTCTGTCTACTTGGTTATTGACCTTCGCCTTCGTTATTATGAATACGTCCTAGATTGCTGCTTAATTTGTCTATTAGTCGATGTTCTTTTCTCGTTTTTCCAAACGACGAATATGCATATCAGTAGATGCAATGATAAACAGATTGAAATTCTATGTTATTGACACGTGTTTGAAATATGCTTGTCATCATTTTTTTTTGTTTGATTTAATCGCTTGCTATCAATAATACACACGTCTACATAGACGTCATTGATATAATAAGAAATGTAGACAAGGTTTTCTTTGTTTTCCTTCCTTATGTTATACTTGTTGATTGATAAAGAACATATGCGTATATTCAGTGACATGTTATATTCCATGAAAAGTGAAAGATATTACTATCAGTAAAAGTTTATAATATACATATTTGTGATCAACGATAAAAACTACTCGATGGTTGCTATTTATAATCGTTATTATCTAACATTTCTTTCTGTGAGATAAAGTAATTTGTAAAGATAACAGTGCAATTTAGCAAACGAATCGATCTAACTGTTTACTGTCAATTATACTGGGATTTATCTAAGTCATTAGGCATGCACATAACGCTTATATACAGATCTATGTTCGTTTATTGTAGACTTGTATGGATTTAACCGTAGTGACAAAATACAAGTGGGAATCTAACGAGTATGCTTGTATGAAGAAACAAGTTAAACAAAAAATTAAACTCTTTTCGAGACGGACATAGTAGTTATATAAAAATTTGAGAAAAAAAAATATAAAGATGGCAAATACAATAGATAAGGTAATATGTATAAATACTTCTCATCTATAAATAGCCTATATCCCTAAACCGATGAGAGCATAACATCATTGACGCTAAAATATTGCTTAAAAAAGTGCTTGTAACTCCGTGATTTGATAATTCTTATTCTTCTATCTGCAATGTGTGGTATCAATAGCAGTATAATAAACAATTGAAATATGTGGAATTCGATTCGCTCGAATGAGTTGTTTTTTCCATCAGTCGTAGAAACCTCTTTTAAAACTTTTTCTTTTCATACAGATAACTTAATCAAATACTACTATCAAGTTATACTTTTGTCCTCATCAGAGAAATTGCACGTATTGTCAAGTAAGAAAAATACAAATGACGAGTTTCATAGATAATTTTCAATGGTCATCTAAGAAAATAATAAAAAGAAATCAAAATGAATTTCATAGATGACACCTGATTGGTGTGCATCGAGCAAATCTTCGAAACTAGTCACTTTAAATGTTGAAATTCGTGCCCATTGCAACTTTTTGAGCACCACTTCCTTTTAAAAAACAATATTACATGTTTGAATATTCAGAAATTTGTAACCATTGTTTTTTAAATTAACTAGTTCCAAAGATGTGCTATATGTGTACATCAATATAGTATCATTCATAAAGTTTGTTTTGATTTCTTCTTCCCATTCTCTTATATACTACACTGTAAATTATCTATGATACGCCTTATACACATTCTTCTTACTTGACAATAGATGAAGTTTCTTTAATGAGGATACATATATATCTTGACAGTAGTATTTCTTTACATTTTCCGTATGAAAAAAAATACTTCGAATAAATTTCTAGTGTTAACAGAAAGATCTACTCATTCGAGCAAATTCAAAGCGAAAATATTTCAATTTTTTTTATAGTGGTGCCATTTATGGTCCAACTTGTACTAGATTCTTCTATATAACTGAAAACTCAATTAAACATTACAAATCATAAATGAACATCGAATAAAATACTTCTTATAATTGAAGATTTTTTTTCCTCATATAATTATATTTCATAACAGACTATGTTGTGACAAAAATCAAACAAAAAACCTTTTCTCTTTTATTAAAGTTAGTTAATCAACTTAAACGTTGAAAGGTTATTGAGACCTTTTCTTTCGAACCAACTTTATTTAAAAAGAAGCATACTAGTACATTGAGATTTTGTAAAATTATATACAACATATATAATAAGATTCTCGATGATAATGTTTTAAACAAATTTGATTAAGCGAGTCGTGTTTTCTATGAGAAAAAAAATTATAAGCATATTAAAAGATTTCATGTATGAAAAGAACAACGTACAATGATGAGTGTTGCCATTAATAATGTTGCCTTTGTTTCAACTTTCATATTGTGTGGAACTAAAGTAAAATAAATCATATTTAAGTGTAATGATTAATTCATGCTAACATACTCTTCATAGCTACAGCTTTTCCATATTCAGTTCGTTCAAGATCAGTTGAAAATGGATAAACTCTTCCAATATTTGTCGTTTCATCATTATCAATTATGTCAAATTCAGGTACACGATGTTGAATTTTACTTCTTAAATGACTTTTACGTAACATTAAACTGACTGCATGCTCATGTCTATTATTGTATATATCATACCATACTTTGCCAAATGCCATTCTATAATCAATAAAGAGAATAAAACTGTTCAGATTACATTTGATCATTATTCCTATTTTTATCTCATATATATTTATATATATAGGAATATGTATACCTGCGTTATCAGAAAGAAAATTGAAAATGGCAATTATGTCCAAATGTCAAAGAAAAACCTATTTGTTTTTTTTTTCAATCAATTCATACTATTTCGTAAGTGAAACAGAAGCAAACAAGAAAAACAAAGAACTTATCGATAGATTTCATGACAAATATGATTTGTTTTTCGTTTATAATTTTAACATTAATATCATCATTAATAGCACAATATCAATATTTTCATAATCTATCATGGAATCATTTAAATCGACAAAGTTTTATGGCACCAATCGATCTATATGCTGGAGTACATTTACCAAACTACCATCATCCAACAGCTCCGTCTATTGATACGGTTGTTCCAATAAATAATAACCAGTATAGGCATAATTTATTGACAACTCGAACTACTTATTTTTTTCATCCAATATCAACAACAACTATTCAAACAAAAAAATATTATAATTATAGACGACGAAATCGAACTAAAATAATATCATTACCGCCACCACCACCACCGTTAGCAAATCTAAGTCCTCAACATTTTGGGATTGTTGTTAATGTTTATGAACCAACAGAAATTAAAAGCACTACTTCATCAACAACACAAGATCCATGGTGGAAATCAATTACAACACCAACACAAGATCCATGGTGGAAATCAACTACAACAACAACACAAGATTCATGGTGGAAACCAACTACAACACCAACACAAGATCCATGGTGGAAATCAACTACAACAACAACACAAGATCCATGGTGGAAATCAACTACAACAACAACACAAGATCCATGGTGGAAATCAACTACAACACCAACACAAGATCCATGGTGGAAATCAACTACAACAACAACACAATCATTCTATGAACGTTTTCCTAAATTACCTTCACAAACTAATAGATTACCACCGCCAACAGTACCAAGAAGTTTTACAACATCGACTAGTTTCACCTATTCATCAACAATAAAAACAACTACGAAAACGATTACTACTGTTTCTACTACTATTAGTACTACTATTACCACCACATTTTCTTCATCAAGTAACGATCATAATTAAATGTTTTTTTAAATTGAAAATTATTAAAAATATTTATTTTATTTAGCATCTAGTTCATTTGTGTCTCGTCCACCTATTCCATCTAATTCATCCTGGTTATTTACTGTTCCATCATTTTCTCAAATTGTTGATCAATATCCTCGTTATCCAACGATTCTTCGTTGGTTTGAAGAACTTTCTCATCATCCTAATATATCTCGTTTTTTTGCATATGAAATTGTTGGCCGTACTCATGAAAATCGTTCATTAGTTGTAGCAAAAATTGGTCTTATGCCATTTCGAAAAAATCGTCGTTCTGTATGGCTTGATGGTGGTATACATGCAAGAGAATGGATTTCGACAGCAACTGTGCTTTATACAATTGCACGAATAATTAATGGTACATTAGCACGTGATGTTGATGTAAGAAAATTAATTGATAAATATGATTTTTATTTTATGCCTGTTGTTAATCCTGATGGTTATGCATATACACATGATGACGTAAAGACTATTTGGGATACACAAGAACAACAGGATCAACAACGAATGTGGCGAAAAAATCGACGACCACATAGTGAATGTCCAGGTGTTGATTTAAATCGAAATTTTCCATTTGCATGGGATAATCGAGGAACATCCAAATTTCCATGGTATTAATACTAATCTATTATGATAAAATTTATTTTATATCGTTATCGTTTTTCTCTTTTATTTAAATTTAGTGAAGAAACATATCGTGGACCATATCCTGAATCTGAACCAGAAGTTCGATCAATAACATCATTTATATTACAACGTCGACGTCATTTTAATACATTTATAACATTACACGCATTTGGTAATCTTTGGATGTTACCATTTTCATTTTCAACACGTATTCGTCCATATGATTATTATCGTGCTGAAGGTTTACTTTTACAAATGAATCGTTTAAGTCAAAATACATTCAAAATTGGTCAATCATCAACAGTACTCTATACAGCAACAGGTACAAGTGAAGATTGGGCTAAAGCTATAGCACAAATTCCACATACATTTTCAATTGAACTTCCACCAAGTACTGATGCATTTGATATGCGTCAAGACGAATTAAATGGTTTTACATTCTATGCTGATAAAGATATTGGTACAGTAGCTGAGTCAACTTATCGTTTATTAGAATTATATCTTAAAAATTTGGCTAAATTACAATATCCATCACGAATAACAATCTAAGAAAATTCCTTCTTTCTGTTTTTTCTTTTCTATCAATAAAGTAGATTTTTTTAAAAGCATACCCTCGTCTTATAGATCCAATTGATTGACTTTCACCTGCTGTTGTTGATAGACATCGAACTTCTTGTTTAGTACATATTTGACAAGGAAGTGGTAAACGGTTTTGATAGAATTCAAGAACGACCTAAAAAAAATTTTCTTTACTAAAATGAACAAAACAAAATATCAAGTTACTTGTTTAGTTTCAGGCATAGTCAAAATAATTCTTTGAGAAAATACGGAATTCAGTATAGATGGATTTGTTTTATCACCTACAGATAGAAATAATATTTTTAATTCAAATCATAGATTTATTTTTTAATATCTTACCAATTTGATAATCAAATAAAACTTTATTTACTCTTGATACAATTTTTCCACATTCTATTGCGCCGATTTCATTTGCCGATTCTTTAATAATAAAAATAGAGAATATCAATTATTTCAAATGATGATATAATCTTACCAGGTTGAAATGGTTTGAAAATAAATTCGTCTTCGTTAGAAAGTACAGTCAAGATTTTTTCTACATTTAAGACTTCCTCATTAGTCGTCATTGATTTCGATTCATTTAAAACAATACCACCAATTGGTTTTTTTCTTTACGATAAACTATTATACTCTTCAAAATATGAGACACAATATATATAATTATACATTTGTATACTTTTCGTGATGTCAAAAAAAACAAGTGACGCGAGAGAGGCATTCGTGCATGACTTTATATTTTCATATAAACGCCTTTAATTAGACACCATGTCCTCTTCGAAGTATGAAAAGAAAAATTGAATGAGTCAAATAAACGATAATATGAAATTTATTAATATTTATCATCGTTAAAAATAATGAATGTTTTTTTGCTTTTATTATTCAAAAAAACAATCATATAATCATGTTTCTTGTTTTATCAAAGTCAAATCATGGAAGTACATGTACATGCTATTTTATAAAAACGAAAAAAACCGGGTTCGATGCCTCGAGAAAAAAAACCAACTAACAAAAACAATTTACCACATATTTAAATATCGTGTCATGCACAATGAAAAGAATGTCATTCAGAAATGAAAGTTTAGGTACGTGTGTATAGACACTTTTATTATCATACATTTTTTATTGCAATAAATCAACAAAATGTGAAAGGAATGTATATTTTATGATATTATATACAATGTCAAGAAGAAAAAAAAGAAAAGATCAAAATGATGTTAAGAAGATTATGATGAATAAAAACTGCTTATGTTATAGAAAAAAAAGTACTCAAGAGTTTGATTAATTGCTTCTTGTTATTTTTGTTTCTGCTTTTTTACAATAAACTATTAAAATGATTCATTTGTTTTTAATGTAATAATATGAAAGATAATATACTGATAAGATAATAGAAAAATAATTTTTATTTGTCTTTATATGATGTTGTTTTGAATTGTCAATAATAAGTAACCACTCGAATGAAAATTTCTAAGATGAAGTCGGTCGAACTTTTTAGGGTTTAATTAGTCCCTTGTAAATGATTCTCTAAACATACAGAGTTTCTGTCGAACGTTTTGATAGTTATATCTAATGAAATAATTGTTTATTTCGATATATAGTGGACAAAATTCTATAGAATAAAATTTAATGTTGATCGAAAAGAGTTAAGACCATTAATGTCATTATCGTTCGTTATTTTCAAAATGCCACAACAGTACAAATATAATTGATTTAAATAGAACACATACTTACTACAAAACGAAACACATACTTGAATGTTAAACTATTTTCCTTAAACATCGCTTTTTAAAACGTTTGTTTTTTTCCGTATTATTATTAAATAGTTTAAGATATCTCATTGATTGATTTCAGAAAAGTTAACGCTTTTTTGATATTTTTATTAATCTAGCATTTATTAATTAAATTTGATATGAATCATCCTTTTACTAAGAATATTTAGTTTACATATTGATATTATTTGATTTTGAAAGATTAATTTGCTAGAATGAAATCCTTGAAATCTTGAAACTTGTTATTGTTTACATTATATCCTATTCATATATACAATTATATTCAAGATTTATGATTAAATTACTGAATTAATAACATTCAACTATTATTAAGCACGTAGTTCTTATCCAAAGTAGAAAAAAAACTATTCCAAACATGCTATGAGAAGCTATTTGCTTAAGTTTCAGTGAGAGATTTTTTTTCTTCTTTATTTGACTGTATAAAATACTTTCAAGATGGTGCCATTGTCTTTGAGAAAAAAATGTACCAAGTTCGATGTTTTTCAATTAGGTACTACGCAATATAAATATGGTAAAAGCAACAGTGGAAACAAGTGCATCAAAGATATCTGGATATATAGTAATAGAAAAAGTAGGATAATGTGTACCTGTCTGCTTAGACAAATCACTAAGTTTATACATTGCGATAACTATTATACAGCGGAGAAAAGCATAAACAGGTTAAAGAAGTTCAACAAGAATGTTTTACTATTCTATAAAATTGTTGTAGGTGTCGTCAGCGTGTCCTTTGTTTTAGCACATTCACTCATTCTATATTCAATCAGTAGTATTGAAGAATGTTTGAAAATATACAAGCTGTTGCTTGTTATTTTTGATTAACCGTAGGTCTATAGAAGATCAAGAAAGTGAAAGAGAACTAATGATGATACGATTTGGCCGTTTTATACGATCAAATCAATATCTTTTTTTCATTATTGTTATTCTGTTCGTTTTTTGTCCATTTTTAATTATCATTCATAAGCAATCTTTCGTTTCGTATGAATATGTACTTTCGAATACTTCCAAAGATACTCGATACGAACGATTTTGCCATCAAGTATATCAACGTATCAATGTTAAACCAACATCAAATACTCCTATTCGAATTCATCCTGAAAATGGATCTATTCCATATTCATATTCTCAATGGCGTTCAAGTTCGCTTATGCCTCGTGCAATTAATCCATGTGAACATGCTCTTTATATGCATCTTTTATCAATACTCATAGAAAAGGTTTTTGATAAATATAATATTCCATACACGATGATGGCTGCTACACTACTCGGTAATTACAATTAAGAAAATAGCATAGTTTAATAGTTCTGTTATATTTCAGGTAGTTATACACGTCATGATATATTACCATGGGATGATGATGTTGATCTACGTGTTTCAATTTCGAATCGTTATCTTTTACAATCAATTATTATTGGAGAACTTTCATCAGAACCCTATTCAATTATTATAATGCAAATGCATAATAAGCGTAATTATGATAAGATATTTTTCTCCTGGTGTCCTCATGCTGGTAGAACAGCATGGCGTTTTCCTTTTATCGATATATTTTACCATGATCGAAATTCAACACATATTTGGCTATTAGGAGAGCCAGAAAGTTGTCCTGTTCGTCTTGAAGATGTATTTCCTCTAGTACTTCGACCTTTAGGATCATTATGGCTATATGCACCTCGAGAACCAATGGCTCATTTCGAATCACGCCAGATGAGATATATTGAAACAGGCTGTTATGCTTTTCCATATTCTCATAAATATGAAACACTGTTGAGAAATGACACTCTTTCTGTCGCTTGTACCAAACTGGAATCTGTTTATCCATATGTTGAACGACAATGTGCATTAAATAAATGTATCGAATATCTTAAATTGGGCAGTAAAACTATCATACATAAGCTTGTTTATCATTACGCTTATAGAACATTCTTATATGCAGAAAGAAATCGATCATTCGTCGCATGTTAATCTTTACTTTGTTGTTTATAAAAAATAAATATTTGTTTGAAGAAAAGTCAATAAATATTCTAGACAACCCCTGTATGTTTTTATTTAAAAAAAATAAATTGATTATTTTTCTTTATGTTGCTTTGGTTGCAATCGGTGTCAGATGATTTTGAGTGATCGACGTCGAGAGATATACATGATTATAGCTATAGATACTGCAAATCTTCTTGTTTTAGCATACTTTAAATTTTAAATAAACTTTAAGTGCGCAAGCATAGGTAATAAAATGTTATGACAATTAGCCTATGTCAAAAGCTCATTTGTTAAAAACCTACTCTCAAAATCAGAATACATAAAAAGTAAATTTACATAAAGCTAAAATCTATTTTGAGAAAAACAAAGAACACAAAAAATAAATTTTATTTACATTAAAAGACAAAAGAAGAAATAGATTGAAAAAAAAAGTCAACATTCATTCTTCTGATATTTTGTTCTTCTATCATCAATAAGTTACAAACTCTTTTCTTAATAGAAACCTACAATATTTATGTAGTGACAAAATCTTAGGACAGATGAAATATCGATAAAATATGAAACATATATTCGATATTATATTTCTGTTAATTTAGCTTGGGTTTATATTCAAATTGAAATTTAATATGTAAAATGTTGACTTGAAATTTATAAAATAAAAAGAATACTCATTACCCAATAACTGATATCGAGTGAAGAAAAATGATGCCTACTAAAGGTACTCTCATCCTCTTTTTAGACCAATTTTGATTCTCGAAAAAGGTGCAATGAATCAGATAGAAGTTTTTATCACGTATAGAGCACTTGGACTAAGGGCACACATGTTAGAAAAACAAAATCTCAAGAACGTTTTCACGATTTTTTCGAGAAAATCTTGTTTTTCCATAGAACCGTATTCTATTATACAACAATCTCTATCAAACTTTAATCGACTCTGGTGAAATTCTTTTTTGGAAATACCTCGAACTATATCTCAGAAGTACTTTTCAGTGTTTTCGAAAATCTGATTGCGTTTTCTTTATTTTGAGATGGATACGTCAAGGTTTGGAGCCAACAGCAAGGTATTGACTTTCAGAATACTATAAATCCGAATAGTAAAGTTAAGAACGAAAATAGTCGATTTTACTTGTGCAGAATATTTTCAAGTATCTGTGGTAAAAAAATTCCAGTCTATTCGGACAAAGTTAGACAAAGCTCATAAGCAGGCATTATTGAGCAAACTGACGTTTTACGTTACATTAAACAAAAGAACTGTTTCAACATAATTATTATGAAAAGTAAATATCTTAAATTCAATAATTCTATAATAGTAAGTTGTTTAGAGTCGAATGATGTCTATACTTCCACTTGGCAATCCAGACTATCATACTATATGTTCAATGCGATATCAAGTTCTTGGTCAAAAAGGAGAAGATACCCTTAACAGCCATCAAAAGTATTTATCTAATGCTAAGATGTATTAATCATTGTAGATTTTCCAGATATGGTACGGGTGCACATAATGTGTACTGATCAGGTTAATGCCTCCACGGCAAAAGTCTCGATTTCAGAACCAGCTCATCATCGATGTAATTATGATGACTGCTTAAACAGTGTCATCGTTTCCAAAAAAACGTTATTTTAAGAATTACAAATATCTGTTGAAATATGATTATGTTCAGTATAACACAATCGTCCAAGGTTTAATTTGCAATCATGACTTCTCCAAATCAACAATATTTTTGCAGGCAATTTTACATTTGTAATGATACTTTGAGACTGTCACCTTTTCTAAAATTTTGGCATTGCTTATTGGGACAAGTACAAGCACTGTCGGTATTTTTCTGTCAAAAGATCTTTTATTTTCAGCTTATTTATGCTAGTTTTTATTTTGTATTAAGTATAGAAATAACTTGAATTGTTCTGATTTCGACCGAATTTACTGAATTCTTCTGGCAGCGATGCGCGTAAGTTCCAATAAACTTTAGTTGTTTGCTTTTTTTCTGGTATAATATCAGTTTTTCGTATTTTGATAGCTAAAGTAAACTAAATAATAAATACTTTACTGTATTACTTTGAAATTAACCTACAAGCTCGACGGCTTATTTTCAATTATTTTGTCTCGGATTATCTCGGAGAAAATTTGCAACACACGAAATAGACCTAACTTTCTGAAACATTTTATCTTAAATCAAAATTGTTTTTTCATATTCATTCACGTGTATGAATCGATTAGATTTTATCTTATATCGTTTTTTTTATATTTTACATATAGCTTCCAGCTTTTTGTTCATTCGTTATCGATATATAATGATCGCTCATGTGGAACGGTGACTCAACTCGACACGTGCTTGATTTTATTTATTTCTTCTAATTTACCTTGTCTAAAACATCGCTAAAAATATCGATTACAAGAAGAATTTTATAGAAAACGACGCAAAAAAATGAAGCCGTTCTTTTTTTCGTTATTTATTTTCTGTTTAGAATATCCAATTTCATTACAGAGTATATTTTCAAGTAAAAACAAATCGATTTATATTTTTATTTAACTATGATATATAATATTTACTTCTAGTTCAAGAAACATTAACTATTTTATGTGACCAATTTCCTCTGATTTCTACATTTAATGATTCGAATTTTCAATGTGCACGTTTACGTTTAGATGAGAGTATTCCAATAAAAGAATTTGATCTTAATACACCGACTCAAATGATTCTTTTTATTATTCTTGAACAATCATCATCAAACATATCTCCCATAGATATAACCATAAATTTTACTCAATCATCTAGTTTACCATCATCAATCGGTGAAATTCGTATTGCTTTATTGGTAACTCATACTAATTTTACAATAAATAATCAAACTACAACAGAATATACTCCATCTGACATACCTATTTTTCTTTGGCAAACTTCAACAGAAAATAACTATGACGTTGTTGATGTACTTCAAATTCAAAATCATGAGTATCAAACTGATACAAGTTTATGTAAATGGAATTTGGATCGATGGAATCATTTATTCAATGGAAATATGTCCATTAACGTTCCCTATGTTTATTTTTTAAAGACAACTACGTCTCAATTATTATTCACGCTTATAGATACAAGTAATAAATCATCATTATCATTACCACCATTACCTTATTTGAATATTCTCTACTGTTTTCCGTACAAATTAGAAATAGCTGAAATGATACTTATTATCTGTTTTGGCATTCTATTTATTATCGTTGTTATTGCTCTTAGTATTTTACATTATTTAAAAGGAGGAGAAAATAATCGAACTCGATATTTTGAACGTTATCAGAATCGAGATGTACAAAATAAATTAACTGAAAACCAACCCGAAGGTATTCGACAACGTTTGGATACAGTCGCTTCATCTATTGAACAAGATGAATAAACATCTGATTACAATAGATAAATGGCACATATACTATACAAATAAATCGAAGTACTAAATTAGATAGAAAATTTTCTAACAAGATGATAATGTAAAAATGTTTTTTTTATAACTAAGAAATGATGAGTTTTGCAATAAAATTACGATTTTAAATGCAAAAAAAACAACGATCAGAAAAATATTGTAAGAAGAAAATTTGTGAAATTTCCTATTGAATACAAATGATAAATCTACAAAAGAACTGTTCAATAAACATTTGACAATAACAATTTTACGAATACTCGCTCTCTTTTTAGCTATTTTTAGTTCTTGAAGAAATTATAACTAATTGACATGAAATTTTATTACAGATAGAGCACCTAAGATAAAGAACCACGTGTTGAAGAAAAAAAACTTTCAAGAAGGTTTTCACGATTTTTTCTGGAAACTTTGGTTTTCCATAAGACTACATGGACCTGCTTATGACCTCCGTCTAATTTTGTTTGATCGCGCTGACAATTTTTTCTGGGTACCTAAGACCATGGTTGGAACTAGTTGCTCATTTCAAATTAATAAAGAACGGGATAAGAACGATTCAATTAGTATTTTTTAGAAACTCTTCAAGTTTATCAACTAATAAAGAAGTTAATTTCTGTTTTAAGAATTTTACATATTGAAATTGGAACACTGGTTACTTGTCAGTTTATTGAACACGCTGTAAAAAATAGATTAGATTTAATGATCGGTCTCTATAGATTGTATTCTGATGCCATACTTTAATCTTCAAATTAGACCATTGCAAAATACGACGTAAGTTATATATCTGCTAAAGATAGGCAAAGTCGACTTCTCTTGATATTAGGTTCACTTAGTACTAGCTTCAAAAGTAATTGTAATTTATTCATATCGATAGTTGAATTTATTGTATCTCATACTAAAAAAAACTCTTTGCTAAAAAGTGAGAGAAAACAAGTGTATTATCTTTCATGAAAATGTTTCCGATTTCAATTTTTGTTTTCGACGAATCGAACTGCCTTTTTTTGTTATATGTCCATGAATTCTGTTATGTTTAGAAATAATGAAATTCCAATATGGTCAAAAGTTAAACGGTTCATTAGTTTATTTTTCGTACACTTTCTATATCCCTTTCAATTTCTAGTTATGAAAGATTCTCCAACAGTGCCATGTAATAAATACTAATATATTAAATAACTTCATCAATGAATTTTCTCTTTAACGAATGTATTGGCATAAAATTCGAAAAATTGAAAATGTAAATAACAAACAAAAGAATTGAAAAACTTGATCTGTAAATCGATAGACGAACGAAGTTGGTTTTAGAGTAAGTCCACTTTCGAAACTATGAAAAAGCGAGAAACTTCGATAAAAAGTTGCTCTATTCGCTTCTTTATATGCATTCAAATCACATGATATTCTTAGGATATGTTCAAGCTATAGCGCACAGGCTATCATTTTTAATGAAATATTCACAAATATTCTATACATTGACTATAAACAGTTATAAGACAAAAACTTTTTTGTTCCATTATACATTCATAAACCTTGAATGAGATAACTAAGGAATTGAAGTTTACTCGAACGGTTATTTTAAACTATAATTCAGCGTCCTATTACCGGATCGGCTGCCCAACATGTAGACCTGTTTGGAACAAAGGTTCGGGTGCAAATTCGCCGAATCAGTTCAAAGTTTTAGTCGTGATCTTATACCCGAACTAGATCTGGCAATGAATAAGATCTCGACATTTCAAAATGTTTTTTATTTCTTCAAACTGCTAATTTATATAAAAGTATAAAGGTGACAATCGATTCAGTCATGATGAGCAATTTATTATAATTGAGAACAGGTTAATTCGTTTTTAATGGAGATTTATTTACAAATGATGCTGAACCAGATGAGGAAATAACTAAATACATACAGAAAAAGATGGATTGTCAACAAAGACGTACATGAATTCTCGTGATGGAAAAAAACAGTCATCTCTATATCAACAATTATGATGTCAAATATCCAAACCAAATTTCGTCTCATTGTTATCAGTAACACCCAAACACATACTTAACAAAATCGATTGGATTTTAAAAGCAGAAAGACATCAAATGAATCCTGAATTATTTGATTTACGTGCTATTTTGCAAAATTTGAGATGATTTCTTTTTGTTGGTGTTACTTACGCAAAAATACTAAATGGTATACTTTTTCATTTAAAAATAAAAGTTTGAAAATCGTACTGTCACTATGAAAGTATTTGTCGAAGTCCAGAGCCAATGACAAAAAAATCCTAATGGTACAGGACACACTGGTACTATTGAATATTATTGATGAAAAAACTGGATTATTCTTTCCTCTCTGTTCTTCTACATGACTAAAAGGTCGTTTTTTTTTATTTCTTTTCACATTCTTCATAATGCGTTACAATTAATATTTTTTTTAATCTCGAATACACATTGCCAGTACGTCATATTTTACAAATTAGATGATATACTACTAAATGTTTTCATTTATATTCTAAGCAGATCCATTGTATTCCATATATGAATGCTACAAAGATTGTGATACGACTAGTTTTATGCTCAAACAATCACTTTTCATTCTTTTTTGAATACAATGAGTGTTTCTTTAAAAAAAATCTTGATATATAGTTGGTTTGTTTTATATTTCAATGGTTGTCAAGTAATAAACAAGTTTGAAGTGAATATTCCAACAAAAAAGTTCTTGTTTTTTTTATTTTTGTTCTCGAATTTCTGTATCTCATTAATCAATGATTAACAAACCGATGTTAGAACTAATAAACACGACACAAGCAAGACAACATGAACAAAACGAAAAACAGAAAGCTGAAAAATGGTGTTCGTTATTTTTCTTTTTTTGTTCTTATTTTGTTTAATCAACTTCTTCCATACGTGAAGCTTCAGCTGAAACAGAAGCTGAATTTTCTCCAGCAGTATCAAGTGGTGGCATATTTGAAGTTGAATCACCAGAAGCTGCTTGACTGTCTTCATGAGCATCTTCTTCATCAATACCTAAACCAAGTTTGATCATACGAAATATGCGATCAGCATGTTGTTGTGGTAATTCAAGTGCAAAACCACTAGCTAAAAGTGATGTTTCATATAATAATGTAACTAAATCTTTAACTGATTTATCATTTTTATCTTGATCAACTTTAGCTTTAAGTGTTTTGACAATTGAATGATCAGGATTAATTTCCAGATGTTTTTTAGCAGCCATATAACCCATTGTTGATGTATCACGTAATGCTTGAGCTTTCATAATACGTTCCATAGTTGCTGACCAACCATATTGTGATGTAACTAGAAATTTGATAATGAATAAAACTTTATATAAAGAAATGTATTTGAAAACTTACCAATACAACATGGTGATGAAACAAGTCGATTACTAACAACAACTTTTTCAACTTTCTTATCTAAAATATCTTTCATTACTTTACATAATGTTTCATATTTTTCTTTATCTTGTTCACGTCTTAAAAAAAAAATAGAAAAGATTAATATTTTATAATAAATAAGTTAATTATTTATTTACTTTTTCTTTTCATCTTCATCTTCAGGTAATTCTAAACCTTCTTTTGTAACTGAAACAAGTTTTTTTCCATCAAATTCTTTTAATTGTTGTACACAATATTCATCAATTGGTTCAGTCATATAAATAATTTCAATACCACGTTTACGTACACGTTCAACAAATGCTGATTGTTCAACAACTTGTCGGGATTCACCCGTTATATAATAAATATCTTTTTGATTTTCTTTCATTCGTGATACATAATCTTTTAATGATGTTAGTTCATCACCTGATGTTGATGAATGATATCGTAAATATGAAGCAAGTTTTGCACGATTTGTTGAATCTTCATGAATACCAAGTTTCAAATTACGTGAAAATTGTTCATAAAATTTTTTAAATGATTCTTTATCTTCTGATAATTCTTCAATTAATTCTAAACATTTTTTCACTAAATTTTTTCTTATAACTTTAAGAATTTTATTTTGTTGTAACATTTCACGTGAAATATTTAATGGTAAATCTTCAGAATCAACAACACCTTTAATAAAATTTAAATATTCAGGCATTAAATCTTCACAATTTTCCATAATAAATACACGACGTACATATAATTTGATTGAATTTTTTGTTTTACGATTTTCAAATAAATCAAATGGTGCTCGTTTTGGTATAAATAATAAAGCACGAAACTCAAGTTGACCTTCAACACTAAAATGTTTAACAGCTAAATGATCTTCCCAATCATTTGTTAATTGTTTGTAAAATTCAGCATATTCTTCAGTTGATATATCTTCAGGATTTCGCGTCCAAATTGGTTTTTGTTTATTAAGTTCTTCTTCATCGGTATATTTTTCTTTGATTTTCTTTTTTCTACAAAAAAAGAAAAACAACATATATATTAATAGAATTATTGAACATTTAAAAAAGAGATTTCTTATATTTCGAAAAAGACATACTTCTTTTTATCGGCATCTTTCTTCTTATCATCTTCATCTTCATCATCGACTTCTTGAACTTTCTAGAATAATTCAATAATCATTAAATAAAAATTTTCATAGTAACAAAAAAAAAAATGAATACATACAGCTTCAGTTTCTTCTTTCTTTTCTTCTTTTTTCTCGTCTTCGCCTTCATCATCTGATATTTCTTTTTCACGTTCTTTGTGTACAAGTAGTTTGATTGGATAACCAATAAATTGTGAATGTTTTTTTATAACTTCTTTGATACGTTTTTCTTCAAGATATTCTGTTTGATCTTCTTTAAGATACATAACAATTTTTGTACCACGATTAAGTGGTTCACCAGTTGTATCACGTTTAATGGTAAATGAACCACCAGCACTTGATTCCCATACATATTGTTCATCATCATTATGTTTTGATGTAACTGTTACTCGATCAGCTACTAAATAAGATGAATAAAAACCAACACCGAATTGACCAATCATCGAAATATCAGCACCGGCTTGAAGTGCTTCCATGAAAGCACGAGTACCTGATCGAGCAATTGTACCCAAATTATTAACAAGATCAGCCTAAAAATAGTAAATGTGTAATTTTTAATGAAAAAATTATGTTTTTGTTTTTTTTTTAAACTTACTTTTGTCATACCAATACCAGTATCGATGATCGTTAATGTATTGCTAGCTTTATCTGGTATAATTTTAATATATAATTCTTTTCCTGTATCAAGTTTAGTTGGATCAGTAAGTGATTCATAACGAATTTTATCCAAAGCATCCGATGAATTTGAAATAAGTTCACGTAAAAATATTTCTTTATTTGAATAAAATGTATTAATAATTAACGACATTAATTGAGCTATTTCAGCTTGAAAAGCAAATGTTTCAACATCACCTGAATCTTGTTCCATTTTTTCAGACATTGTAGCAAAAAAAAAGAAAACGCTTAATGAAGATTTAAAGTGTACGAAGAATGTTGACGAGAGAGAAATGCGAGTAAAATACAATTATAACTGATGCTTATATAGAGTCTAGAAGAGAATAGTAGAACACTCGAGAAAGATCGAGAATGACGAGAAAAAAGCTCTGCTGTGTTTATTCTCTATTTTTTCTTTCTTTCTTTCTTGTTCTTCCTTACTTGATTATATATGCATCATAGTCTCAAACACGGTCACTAGCATTATAGATATGCGTCACTATGGAGAATGCTAGTGGCTGGAAATAACCAAATGAAAAAGCTCCGTGTGTGTGTGTGTGTGTGTTTGTTTATTAGAATATTCAGAGCAAAAAACTCATGTATCATTTGGCGTATGAGAAAAATTTTTATTCTTTTTTTTTCTCGTTAAGGTGCTTAAAGGAAGAAGAGAAAGAAATAGAATATGACTCAGATAAAGATTTTTTATTTTATTTTTTTTGCCACGTCGACGAAAAAACAACATAGGACGTGTTTGAATTTGAATTTCTTGTGAGATTATAGATGAAGAAGATAATGAAATAATGTTTTTAGAAATAAATGAATTTTATATAAAATGTCAATATTGAAATAATATCAATATTTTCATATTAAAAATCAAGGCCATGATTTCTTTCTTTTATAAAATTCTGATTCAAAGTTGTTTGTTTTTTTTTCCCTCAAGCTAAAAATTTCAATGACACAATGAAAATTTCAAACTTATGTACAATCAATTTACTTTGATATATTTAAAAGTTTTCTGTGTGAACTCATAAAATTGGATTACTCTTTTTTTGTTTTCGTATGAAGTTAAGGAAGAGAGTTTCACATGTCGTATGATAATTTTTACGAAATTAGTTTTCATAGAAATGTAGGGATAATAAAGTATCCATATAACGAGCGATGCAGAATAAATTAGACTATTCATATACTGAATATGTCTTTCTACTATTCTCCGTTTGATCGAAACATCTTCTTTTTTTTTTATCAAAATAAGACACTTGCAAATCTCTATAAAACTCTATATATGATTGAAATAGGGGTGGGAAGTTACCGTTACGTTACCAAGTAACTAGTAACTCGCAAGTTACTAGTTACCGAGTAACTAGTAACGTCGGAGTTACCAGTTACCAGGTAACTAGTAACTTCGGAGTTACTAGTTACTTTTGGTAGGTAACTTGTCTAAAAAGTGGAGATATCGCTTCCTAATGAGTGAATACCATCATTACAGTACTTATTCAGCACACGAGTTACCGAGTAACTAGTAACGCACATAGGAGTTACTAGTTACCAAGTAACTCGTAATTTAATTGAGTGTTGAATAGATGATATTCAGTCATTAGGAAGCGATATCTCGACTTTTTAGACAAGTTACCTACCAAAAGTAACTAGTAACTTCGAAGTTACTAGTTACCTGGTAACTGGTAACTCTGGCGTTACTAGTTACTCGGTAACTAGTAACTCAAAAGTTACTAGTTACCCGGTAACGTAACTCCCGGGTAACGGTAACTTCCCACCCCTAGATTGAAATCAAATATTGTTTTAGATAACCTTGAAAAAAGATGAAAGGTAAAGACGCAGAAGTAGCTGTAATAAATAAATGGGAAAATGATAATAGATCAGCAAAAATTTATCATGATTTGGCTAGTGTAGTTTCATTAAAAACAATTAAACTAATGGATAGAAATAATTAACAATGTTGGTTCTATCAATTTGTCACACTATTCTGGTCATCTACGCATCGTTCGAACAAACGTGAATATTTGAAATGATGAAATCGCGGCTGCTTTTCAAGAAAATTATCTACTGAAACAAATCGTATATCGTTGATATTGCATGAAGATGTTGACTATTTTCTATAACAGGAGGTCAAATAGTCAACCGTGACTGATCTAAACAAAAAGAGTAGGCTAATTTTTCAAGCTGTATATTACGTATAGTGTTATTAAGATTTCAATGTGTTAGTTCAATGAAAAACGATATACATAGCATTTTTGTGTATTCATGCCGAAAAATCGCTAGTCATTGAATCTGCTTGATTTAAATTCGTTAGATTATAGTTTATCGACTGGACTGGCTGAAACTATGAATTGAAACCATATAACAACGAAAGTAATATTAATAGGCGAAATACAATGTTCGGTCAAAACAATAGAAAACAATTTCTGTACTATAGTTCACTGTACGATTACGTTTAGTTAAAAAATGATGGAAGGAAAACTTTATTTGTTAATTAAAGTGTATCATTTTATGCAGAATTTTAAGCACTATGTTTTGATTTAAAAAAACTTCAATCAAATAAAGAATAGCGAAAAGATATTAAACATACAAACAGTCTAATTTATTCTACGTTACCTGTTGCATTCAATAATACTTTGCAAATAATTCATTAATTATTGGAAAAGAATTTGTAACAATACATTTTAAATAATGTCTAATATCATCAATTTTAAAGTAAAACTATGTGCAAAGATTAATCAAGCTATTCTACATTAACAGAAGAATCAAAGAAAAAGTATTAATGTTTTATTTTTGTTATTTATTTTTGTTTTTGTTTTTAAGAAATCAAAACAAACAACAAGATTCGTTTGGAAAAACAAATCATCATAAGAATCAATAACTTATGATGTGTATGACGTTTTTTTCATCATTTTCGAAAGCATTTGATTGCAGGCAGCTGCATACGGATTTAACAGAAGTATTTGTTGCTTGGCAAATGCTGAACCAAGTTCAGCAGCTCGTGTAAAATCATCCAATGATGCTTTTTCATCACCTAAATAATACAATGGAACATAAATTAAAGCATGTTTTTGTTGTCCTACCCAAAAATCGATTGAGAATTCCACGCTGTGTTAATGCCAAAGATAAAGTTTTTTGATTATTTTTTGCATTCGAAGATAAATCAATTGCTGTGCTCAAATCAACCATAGCTTCTGAAAAAAAAATGAATAAAAATGAAACTAATTGAGCTATGGAGAAAATAATCTAATTGACCTTCAGTTTTACTTAATAATTGGTAAGCTTGAGCTCGATTATTGTAAGCTGACGGATTTTGAGGATTCAATGCAATAGCTTGATTAAAATGTTCAATAGCTTCAACTAAACGGTTTTGCTCAGCTAATCGTACTCCTAAACAATACAAAACAAGAAAGACTGTAAATTTGAATAGACATCTTAAATATACCTTCTTCTTCCAATTTTTTAATTTCTAATAATTGATCTAAAAGTTAAATACACAAAAATAAGCATAACTATATGAACTATAACATTTAAAAAAGAAGAAAATAAATCTCACTTTCATTTTCTGAATTACTTGCATCTGTTGGTGATTCTTGGTCGAAATCCAGTGGATAGTTTGGATTAAAAATAACATTCAAAACATATTTGTCATTATCTGTAATCGTTGCCATTAGCCTTTGAGTAGTAATATACGAGTGTGTAAAGTTTAAGAGATATCAAGGATATCTACTCTTGAATTAAATAATATATATTGAAAGCGGCATCTACTCTTCAGTCACATGAGTGAAAAGATAAGAAAGTGACTCATTTTAAACATCGAAGTAGAAAGTGCAAGAAGCAAACAAAATATGAGTACAAAATTTTGAACTTTCTACTAATTATATAAAGAACCAGCCAGTATAATAATACCTTATGAATATCTTTTTAAGTGACATATGATATTTAACAATGGTTTCATAGTAATAGAGATGAGGAAGACGACTGAAATCTTTTATGTATTAGTAGATATTGATTTTTGTTTTCAATGTCAAAAAAACAATTCAAAAGATGCATGAATTTTACAGAAGATTTTACACGTAACGGTATAAATGTTTTAGATCAAGTTGTTTGATTTTTGTTGACTTGTCTCTGGATAGAAACTGAATGAAATGGTTGCGACTTTGATGTGATTAGACATCAAATTAATTATAGCCAGTGTCATTTTAGAGTCAGTCTTGTTAAATCTTTTTGAAGCTGGTTGTCAATATTCAATAATCTGAATTTCTTCGATTTATCATAATTTGTCTGTGTCTCTAAATGTCACATCACAATTCATGTTCGAAGACTGTCCTGAAGATGAAAATCGATTAGATACGTAGAACATTCAAAAATTTCTTTGATGGCTATTATTAACAAGCAACGGGGACTGTTCCTGTATTAGTATCGGTGTCTGCACATAAATCATGCAATCCTATATTGATAAATATCAGAAGTCTGGTATAATTAAAATTTTGTGTCTTAGGAACCGATCACCTTTAAATATCTATGAATGTAAATTAGCACTTTAGAATGATAATACTCTATCATGTACTATGAGTTTTAAATCGATTTTCAAACTTCAAAATGAACAACTAACCGTTGATTATGTTTCTAAAGATGAACCACAATGTATCGATTCGATATTAGCAAGTGCGACATTCATATGAAATAAGCTTCAACCCTATGTAATTGTTCACGTAAAATATACTATAAACTGTACTTTTGAAATGCAAATAATTTCTGCTCTTTTTTAAGTTCCAATCCTCCTGTCTTTAATTACTCGGTTTCTGATAAACATTCGACAAGTTTGTTATTCATATCCAGGATCATCATCAATGCATAAGTATTTATCTTTAAGATGACGATCCCAATCAAAAACTGCATTCTATGACTCAGTATTGCTCACCATAAATCAGTACTCTATTACCATAAATATAAAATCCAGCGTTGTCTTCTGTAAAAGGAAAACAAGCTTTGAAATATATAAAGATTAATTAGACACATATTTGATTTAAAAAAATGCAGCTTTATGCAATATTGCAACGGTTAGTAAAATTCAAAGTGATGATGAAACGTCATCATCAACAGTTCGAGTCAAATAATCATATGACTAGCCGGTGAATTTATAACCATTTTTTGTAACATTCATACTTTTTCATCAAAATCTGTTACTCTTACTCGAGATCATGGAACTACTTTGACGTTGATTTCATTGTTTTCATTACACTAATAATGCACTAGAACTGACTTATTTTTCAATGAACTTGAATGAGATTGGACATTGAACAAACCTATTGGTGGTATACAAGAGATGCATTTCTCTATTAGATGTTTAATCGTGTTAATATATTCAGGAGATTAGTATTTTATGCACAATGAGGTGATTTGTACGAACATTCAATATCCAGACAAATAAATAAACGAAGCAATATGTCGATAACTGTCAATCAACTTTATCATATCAATGCCAATGAATATGAACGAAGACGAGAACGTTTTTTTTAATAATAATGTTGATTTTTTCTTATGAATCGATCTGAAAATTTCAAAGAAGACGAAGGAAAAATTACGTGTTACAGATAAAAAGAAACTCTTCATATAAAACAATAAATCATTTCAAAAAAAGAATTTTTAGACCAATTAAAAGATAAAACTTTGTTAAAATGGCAAGATCGTTTAGATAATCTTCTGCAACAATGATGATGGCAGCACTAACATAATTAATTCAAACAACGTCTAACTTGAAACCTAGTAAAATATGTATGACTCTGTTGAATTCATAGCAATGTTTAAGTATCGATAACTTGACAAGACTAAACACATATCGGCTAGTTATGAATTGTAGTGTCTATTGTTTTTTTTAAACATACATCGCATCTGTAATACAAGAAATCAGTGTATGTTCCAAGAAAAGAAAGAAATAGAAAATAGAAACGATAAACAGCGATGCAAACTCACCATCAGCCAATATTGTTAAATTTACTTTTCTAAGATAAACGCTTCTTTGATTATCTTTTGTGCCTTGTCAGTTTTTGGTGGAAATGACTAGTTTGATTCATAAAATTGCATATGCAGAATCGAAACAATTAGAATTCAAATGGACGTTTCAAAAATAACAGAAACAGATGAACAATTTGCTGGTCATTTTCTAAAGCAAAAAGAAGAAGAAGAACTAAATAAATCAGCCAATATAAATGAGAAAGTCTATCGATGACGTATAAATGCAAAAGAAATCGGTTTATTGATTGAGACTAAATCGTAAACTGACACCTATAAAAATTTTCCTTTGGAGAATGAGAAACATATTATTCTGGGGTGTGGTTGAAAGAATAGTTCTCGATCAACAGAAATAACAGATTTAATGAATCAGAAGAACAACATGTGAAAATGAAAAGAGAAGGAATGCCTTGCGTACAGCTGAGTAGCTGAGAGCACCAACAACACAGCAAGGATTCAGAGATCAGCGTTTTATGTTTTTCTGTTCCTTTTTATTAATTTTTGTTTAAAAAATTTTTGTTTACGATCACAGATACTGTCAAGTCCTTATCGAAGACGATGGTCACTGATCACACTGATTTCACCAGTTAGCTTTTTACTTTTAATTAGAGATGTGAAGAGTTACCCTATCTTCAGCTTACTCTGTAGTGTATGACAGAGTAAGAGTAGAGATTTCACAGGGTAGAGTAAGAATAAGAAAGTTTTTCTTAGCCAAGGTACCGAATATAAAATAGCTTACTCTGCATATCTCTACTTTTAATTCACACATGGAATAGAAACGTATATGTTCAATACTGACTATTTCTACATAAAAAATACAAAAATTAATAGTTTCAATTTTGACTAAATATTAAATACTTGACAATAGTATCAAAGAATAATTGAATGAAATAAATATAAGCCTAGAACAATATTTAAAAAACATAATTCTTATTAACAGTTAAAATTTGTACAAATTATTTTCTATACACCATCATTAAAATAATACACTAAAAGTAAATTTCGAAGAGTTGCACATTTTTGTCGTGTTTAAAAAAGCTACCTTGTTCTTGATTCTTTCAAATAGGAAGATTATCACTAGAAGATACAAGACATTGCCTCAATGTGAATTTTTTTCTTAAAATGAAAACCAATAATGAAAGAATACGTGTATCTATTCATTTTATTGTCGATGAGAAAGTTCATCTATTGTTCATTATCTATATAAAAAATGCTATTAGCAGATGGGTTGAAGATTATTCATTAAACAAGATATGCAGACATAAGCGTCTCAGCAATTCTACTGATGTCGGAAACCATTCAGAAGTCAAGCTAACCATTTTATATCAAATATTTTCCTTTCAAAATATAATCATGTTGCGGCACAGGAAAGTGCTTCACAGGGAATTACCCTGAGAGACGACAAGAAAATCCGATCTTCAGTGTACGAAATCGATGACTGCTATTTTACTATAGCTTTCTTTATGATTTGTGATAAGTCTTGATTGATTTCAATGAACTCCAATGTGGTTTAGCATATGTAAATGTTTACTAAAGAATGACAGCATCTCTCTATAAGTATATCTCTTCATATGTCATACAAATATACATTTTGACGTACTACACCTATCTAAATGTTTGAAGAAATTTAATTTTATTACTTTTTTTTCTGCTTCATACTAGAGTAAAATAGTACTACTAATCTTATTTTATGCAGCTTATTTTGTTTCTAAATGATAAAAACTTATTTACTAAACGTTCATTGCGATCTAATAAAATGCTGAACTGTTCTTAGGACATCAATATTAAAAAGACACCAAATATAATTAATAACATAACGGAAATATAAAATATGCTTTATTCAATAAAACAAAGATATTATGAAAAACAATGCAACATCTTAGCAATTATGTTGATACACTTGAAAAAATAATTACAGAAAGATAATTAATTAATAATACATATTCTACTTCATCTTAATCTTCATGATATTTTGTTTTACTCATTAATTTCTGGTACATATTAGTTCATCCAGATTGTCACAGTAATATATCTAATAAACTTAATTATTGTCTTCTCTTAATCTAAACTTCAACGAATGATTTCGTCTATTTAGTTTTATTACACACATAAAGCAGTAAAAACCATACAAGTTAATCATACATGCAAAGAAATACTAAGAAAAGTGGATCAGAATAATAAGCGAGATATACTACAAGAGACAAATAGAATGAAACAATAAAAAGTAGAATATTTTCTCTTGGTTTAATTAACGACTGCTAATGAATGCTTTAAATTAACTTCACATGGTGCATTATCATGACATGAACTACAATAATCCTACAAATAAAATTTATTTATTTCTGAAAAGATTAATCTTTTTCTATATTTTTTCATCTCAATGTGAACTTCAACTATTCTTTATAATCCAATATGGAATTGGCTCTGGACCTAAATTCGCATATAAGAACATAACTTGATAAACAAAACGAAGGACAAAAATAGTTTTTTTGTCCAATACTACAAACAAAAAAAAAAAAACTTCATAATTAATTCCTTGCTGATTATGAAAAGTACGATAAGGAAGTACAATACTAAAGAAATAAAACTTATTAAAATAATGTTCGATAGAAAAGTTCACAAAAAAAAACTAATTGGCTCACTTACATCATATTTACTTTGAGTTCGATAGAAACCGACGCATTATTTGTCAAACATTAAGCCGTTTCCTCAAAAGCAAAATTCATTATTGTGTTTCATATAACTTTCCTTTTGTCATCTATATCCAGATTTTGTATTGAAAAATCCACTAGTATTAACTCTTAGTGTTTGAATGTTAGTATATACGATAACTACAGGCACTTTTACAATACATGACGTTTCATGACAATTTATTGCCTACAACACTATACTCTTGGAAGTAGAACTATAGATGTAAAATTTTAGAGTCATAAATGTAGAGCAGATATTTAAAAAATGATGAACTTTCTCTAATTAGACATTGCTAGAAATTTGGTATAACACCATTGCATATTATTGCTCACTACGTGAGATCTTACTACATTATCGGATTCAGCATTCCCGATTTATTCATTATTTACTATTCCAGTAGTGCATCTCATGCTTATGTACAGCAGATATAATTTCAATATTAATGTATAGATGATAAAAACATGAATAATATATTCTGGAACAATCTTTAATACTTTTGTTCTAGTTTAACTATCTTAATGAAAATTATCGTAAAATTGAATCTAGTTATTCTAACTACTAGTGGACTCTTACGTTCATTACATTATTCGACTATTCGTTGTTACCAATCGACGTCTTGAAAAATAGGCATAACAGTTAGTTTTGATTCGATAACTTGTTCATTTCTAGATTTATTTTGTGTTATGTCTTACATTTTTTCCACTCGGTAACTTTTTAAATATGGAACGAAATATAAATAATATCAACATATTCAACTCTTTTTATCAGATTCTTAATTGTGATGATTTTTCGATGTTGTTATCGTATTTGGTGGTGGTCATCATCTGTTCATTATTTGCATTATTTTCGTTGTCCTCAACATTTATTTAATCTTCAACGTCAAGTTCGTCAAGCAAAGTTACTTGTTGCTGCTCGTCTCGGTGAATATGTCATTATCGATTGTTCATTTGCTAATGAATACAATGATAATGACATTACATTTGGAAATTATTATGAAAGACTTCAATTAAAAATTCATTCATGTTTTACTCTACTTCATCGATATCATTCACCATCATTTATTATTTTATGTAATTTATTTTCGAATAATAACGATAAATGGCTACGAAATAGTCCTTATTGTCATGCAACATCACTTTCATATCTTGATTTATTTCCTAGAGAACAACTTGTTTATTTATCACCTGATTCACCAAATATAATGCGTGAATATGAACATAATGTTATTTATATACTTGGTGGAATATTTCAAAAAAGTAAATCGTTTTGTATAATCGATTCGAATCTAGAGAAAATAAATCTTTTTATTTAAGCAAAACATGAACGAATTACTTTAGAAAAAGCTAAACATGAACATATTCGACATCAATCATTACCGCTTCAAAAATATCTTAGGTACATTCTACAAATAATATATCAGTAATTCAAATTTATTTTCATTATTTATATAGATTTTCACCAAGTTCAAATACTGTTTTGTCAGTTAATCAAGTATATAATATATTAATGACACTTAAACACAGTAATAACAATTGGTTGGAAGCATTAAAATGCATTCCTGAACGTTGTCTTGTCAGATAGATGAAGTTCTTTTTCTGATTGTTCATTTATATGTTATGAATGAAGCAATAAATGAAGAAACGCATGATATTTATATTTGATTAAGAAGATTATTTTGTTTCAAAAGTAAAATATTTCATATATAAAAGTTAAATATAAGATATAGAATAAGAAAAAAAGATTGAAAGATTTATGAAATCGACGCCTAGTTAATTTTTTAGGTAGAATGAAGATATCTATTAATTACATAAACATTTTCATTTGCAACGTTCCAAATATGGAAGTAAAATCATTATTTGAATTGGTTAAGTTTTCTACTTGAAGAATACAAATCAAATAAACTTAACCCAGATTATTTTTATTGAAACGATAGTTTTAAATTTTGCTTGAGAACTATAAGTGTCTCGATTAAGAAAAAAGAACAGCTATCATGAAATGACGTTTAGAACGTTTTTTCTAATTTTCTACACTTTTTTCTTATAAAAAAAGATTTTTATTTCACTAGTTAAGTCCATCTTATGTTTAGAGTTCTTTCGAGAGTTGTTTTAATTATCTTGAACATTTACTCTGTTAAGTTTTGTCGACATCATAAGAAAAAACGTGGTTTTGTGTTTTTTCTGAGAAATCTCTTATGAAACAAAATTTGGTGGTTATGCGAATATCATGTATTAAAATGTTATTGTTGAAAAAAGTACCAACATATTATAAAGCAGCCAAATGAACTGAAATTCACTATAATTTGTAGTATAGTGAAATATTCGGAGATATCTAAAAGCAAATGTAAATGATTGATAACACTTTGAGCAGGATATAACATTGGCAATGTTTTATGTTAAAAAATCATGGTAAATTTGTCATTTATGTGTATGTCCAACACAAGTACGTATGTTAAAAAACGTGAATTATTTGAGTAAAAGATACGAATATATTCTAATGAAACGTAAGTCATAATAATATGTCATAGAAAGTGAGGGAACGTCAATGTATTTCGCATCAATTATATTTTTATTCATGTATAATATCATTCTCATTTATTGTATTCATGAAATCAGACTTGCTGTCAATTGTATGATGGTGCGTTCGCTTACTAGTGCATAATATCCAAAGATCATTTGTTTTATATAAATAGATCTTATTTTCTTTTTCTAAATATTATTCAATTGTTCTCTGTCGGTTATTTACAAACACAAAACTTTCGGAATGATGACTCATAATTGAACTTAAGTTATGTTTCTAATTATCATTTTATTGGTTATGTTGATTTAAGTTGTGTTTACAAAAAAAACGCGGCTCAAGTTACAAGTAAAATATTTTTTTATTGATAAGCTAAGAAAAAATAAATTTTTCTATTTATTTTAGAATGACTATAGTAGTGTTGATAGAAAATATACTTTCAGAAATACGAAAGTATTGTTTGGTTCTTCATTTAGATTACTTTTTCCCGATCATCTCGAGTGTAAACGTACAACGAAATCGATGACTTGTTGTTGATCTAATTTTGCTACAGACACAGCAGTATCACTTTCGGGATGCGTAGTATACATGGACACATGCAAATTACTATGTGTTAAGGAGAATGATCCAAGAGAAATTTCTAAATCTGTTAAAAGTTCCGTTACAACTGAGAAAAAATCTGTAACATCTCATCAATCATAAATTCAAACAGAAATAATGATGAATTGCTAACATCTACCGGCTTATATATGATTTTGTTGAATACACAAAAAGATGTTGTATCATATTTATTTTGCTGTCAGATATTTTCTAAAAATTATAGATTTCATTATAGAAAAGTACTCTAAGAATTTATTTAATAAATAAATATCCTAAACGAGGACAACAACCTTTTGAATTTATTCATTGCAATTAAGTTTCTACTATTTACTAAAACTATTTTTTGCAGGATAATTGAAAAGATTCGCTCTATGTTCTCTCAAAAGTTCAAAGTAAAAGATTCTTCTATGTTTGAATTTTACAATTTTATATTGGATATACATAGCACTTATATTTGCATACATTATATAGATTAAGACTACTAAAACCATCTAACTTTATCAGTTGTTATACACAAATTTTATTATGCTGGTAATAAACTGATAACTTACAATTAATGGATGAAAAATAATTCTGAAAAAAGTAACATTGATCTTCACAATCATTATCCAATAAAATTCTATTGTTACTTCAAGCAGTTGACATAGTTGCTAGTTGTAAATCGTTATCAGAGTCTATTAGTTTATTATTGCCTTCTCAAATAACGCAAAAGATAGACTATGTATAAAACTTTCTATTTCAATCTTGAATAAAACATGCAATTAATAAGTTTGGTTAAAAAAAGTTTAACTACAACATTAATTTCTAAAAGAGAATGTAATTATCTCTTAGAATAATATCTAAATAATTATATGCCAATAAATGATATGAAAACTGACTATTAGTCTTTTTATCATCGAATGAAACTGCTCAATGAGTTGTGCATCTTATTTCAGTTATCTATATTCGAACATCTGTTAAATATTATCGAATATCATATAATTGCGATAGAAACATTGATGCGTTTTTGTTTCAATTGAAGTTGTTTTTCTATTCTATTACAATCCATTTGGAATTATGAATAAACAAATAAGACTTCAAGGCAAATGTTTCATGATGTCATGCAACTTTATATATCTTCATATTGTCTATGTGCTTGATAATATCAAATAAGAAAAAAGGATATTGTTGCTAGTTATAAAATTTAAGCTGTTAGTATGACAATAGAGATAATATCCAATGATTCTTTTTCTCTTCTGCAAGTATTCTTAAATGTTTTACGATCTTTTTCTCCGTAAACGCTGAGTGCTTCGTCAAAGGCATTTTTTATGAATTTATAGTCTATTGAATAATAGAGAAAGAAAAAAAAACATACATATAAAGTATTTTGTTCTAAAATCAGACAATACCATTTGATCACTGGTTTTCATTCGTCACTACGAATAATGATTGTTCATGGTTTAGTTCTTCTATTACTTTTATCAATAGTACCTAGTAATAGTCTTATATGCCATGAATGTGGATGTGATAACACTGATATAACTGGATGCTATTGTGGTGAGACAAGCACTGACTTTGATGGTGATTATTGTGTTATCGCTGAAGAAAGACTTACCGATGTAACAAATATTCAGCTAACGCGAGTTCCTCGTAATACAACTTTGGTTTATGTTGAAGATCCTTACTATGTTTTTCTGCTCGAATCTATTAGATATAATAAAACAGCAAATGACTGGTATCTATGGACAAGTGGTGCTATATTTGGGTGTGATTGGGATCTTTGTAATTCTCCAAACTTGATCAATAGGTTACCTACTACATTCAACTTATCTATTGAAAAAAACTGGTTACAAACAAATATTTATGGTACAGGTTCTGTTAGTCAGTGTCACCATTGTCCATTCGAACAGTGTGGTGATTCAGCAAATCCCATTGATTTCACTCAATGTCCAATGACACCTTGTGTCAATGTGTCTACAGTAAAAAGACCTTCTAATTAATGAAATCAATCCTTTTATGATTTCATTAAGTAGCTTTTTAGTATCAACAAATTATGTTTTTTGTTTTATTTCAGTGTTTAGCCTATGATTTATGGGATGATTTTGATACAGGTGAACAATGTTATCAATCACAATGCGCATCAGACTTTATAGATGAAGACATAGCTCAACTTTATGGTGGTAAATATAGAATTGATATCGAAGCGATCGTTTATTTAGCACAAGATCGTTCAAAATATTATCTTTGGGAAATGGATGTATATTGTGGTGCCTATAATTGTACTCGACCAACTATTTTTTCCGAAATACAAAGTAAACTTACCTATACAATTGGTGATCTATCTATTTATCCACTTGTTCGACCTACAACAACTCAACCACCACCAACTGCAACTACACCTATAGCAAATCCTCTTATATGCTATAGTTGTGAATGTAATGGTGCAGGAGGATGTCCATGTTCATCAACTGTTGTCATGTCATTGGATGATACTTATTGTGTTATTGCACGAGAAAATCGTGGTCAAGATGTTACTATTAAATTAACTTATCTTGATTATTATGCAAGTTATAATTATATTCTTGATGCACCATTTGTCGTTGTTGAAGAAACGATTAGCTATGATGAAAGAGGTGTTCGTTGGATTACTACACCAAGTTTTGTTCTTTATGGATGTAATTGGAATTTATGTAACAAGCCAGAACTCATATCCCTTCTACCAAATACTTTTCAAATGCGTCTTCCAGAATCATGGTTGAATACAAATATTTTAGGTACTGGACAACCAGCACGTGATTGTCATGAATGTCCAGATTCTGCATATTGTACTACAATTGATTTTATTGATGTTAGTCGATGTCCAATTCATTCATGCAACACTACTTGTCGTGTTTCAGATACATTTAATGATCCATCCTTTCAGCTTTTCTGTTATCAATCATTTTGCCTCTCACCTCTTGATGATCAATATAATCTTAATCATCATCGTGTTGAAATTGAAGGCCTTGTTTATGCTAATGAACCAAATGATGTGAAAATATGGGAAATAGATCTTTATTGTCGTGGTGATGACTGTTCACGTCCTGAATTATTTAAAGAACTTCGTGAACAATTAACTCTAATACCTGGTAACCTTGCTGCTTTATTTAATGAAACATATGATCCATCGATACCACAACGACGATGTTATGATTGCGTTTGTTTTGATGAACAAAATTGTGATTGTGGTAGAAGTACAATCATGAACGCAGATTCAACTTATTGTATGATTGTGCGCGAAAATTATGGTCAAAATAGTTGGGTCGTTATGGGACATCTTGATCAAGACTCAACTCGTGTTCATATTCGTGATCTTCCTTATATACTTCTTGAAGAAACAATCTTTTACAATGAGAAAACAGGACGATGGGATACTGTCACCAATTTTGCTGCTTATGGATGTGATTGGGATTTATGTAATCATCCTAATCTTATAAAATCTCTTCCAAGAACATTTGAAATGCGTCTTCCAGAATCATGGTTGAATACAAATATTCGAGGTACTGGACAACCAGCACGTAATTGTCATGAATGCCCAGATGCTCCACAATGTGGTACATCTGATTTTCTTGATACTAGTCGATGTCCAATTCATTCATGTGATACTACTTGTTATGTTTCGGATACTTTTGATGATCCATCAACTGGTGAATTATGTTATCAATCATATTGTGCAGATCCAAATGAAGAAGATTATGATCCTGATGCATTTCAAGTAGATATTGAGGGTATATTATATCTTTATAAACAACCACGTGATGTTGAGTTATGGGAAGTTGATATTTATTGTCGTGCTGATGATTGTTCTCGACCAGAAATATTTAAAGAAGTGAGTCATTGAAATAGATGCAAATAGAAACTAATCAAAAATCATTGTATATTTCAGCTAAGATCCAACTTGACTTTGGTAGTAGGTGATTTAAGCGCATTTGATGAATTATTATCCACGACTACACAACGACCTGTGACTCAGCCAACCACGACAAATCCAGTAGTGACCGAGTCAACAACATCCAATGCATCAATTTTCACTAGTATAAATTTATTTAGTATACTGCTAATATCAATTCTTCTATTTAATTTGCATTGACTAATCTTTTTTTCATAATATTTTACTTATTGAACTATTGGTTTTGCATGAGCGTGAAATTAATCTATTTTTTTCTTTTTTTTTTAACAAAAATTCTTCCTTTTTATTATTTTGAATAAACCTGGCGGTCGCATTAAATTAAAAACGATTGAATCGATTCATATTTTTAAAGCAGACGAGACGCAAAAAAATTACTAAATTGATCCAAATGCAATTGGCTTAGTTTTCAACAATGTCAAGCGAAACTGTTACTATCACTACATAAATACGCAAATATATATTTCGTACTACTAATTGGCGAAATTATTTCGACTTTTAAGTGTTAACATAACCTTGATTCAGATGTTTACAAGACAATCAGTTGCATAAAAGAATGAGAATGAAAATATGTATTTTAGTTGGCTTTTCTTTGTTTTATATTTTGAATGAACTAGTTTATTTGTAAGAATCTACCTATCATCAAAGATGATAATTGAAAACTTGAAAATTTCAAATAATAAAAATAGTTGAGTTCAACAAATCATATAACCATTATGTTACATTAGAGTTTCAGTATTATTTACAGTTCTCACTCAAACAGATGTATTCAAAACAAAATATATGCTACATTTGTATTACAGTATGATTCACTGAATTGAGTCAGTTAGTGAATGGAAAAGCTAAACTCTTTCATTTAGGATAGTTTCTCCTTAAGTTTTGATCCTAATTACAACATGTTCTTTACAAATTGCAATCAATAATAATAATAATATCAGAGATCTTATTACACTATCAATTCACAAAGTAATAAAAGTAGATGAATAAATCTACAACAAATAGTTACGACTAACATATCAAGCATATGAATATATTGTTCATCTAAAGCTTATCAGGACTCTAAATTGATGTATGAAGTTTTTATTAAATTACTATAACATTCTGAAAGTTGTAGAGTGAAGTTGTCTTCAAGAATATTGAATCATGATGTTCTTCATTATTTTTTTCAAAAGTGATTTGTTTAGTTCATACTTATTCCAAATAGAACACTAAAAGTTGACATGTATTTTAAACTCTTCTATTATGCACTTAATCGAATGATGCCATTAATATATTTTGTTTATGCCTGTAAAGAATATTGAAAAAATATGACATGTAATATCATAGATAGATATCATTGAATTCGAGTTGTAGCAATTTAGATGAAATCTAAAAGCATCAATCAGATATTAGCCTCTTCAACTTTAATCTAATGATATTCTTAAAAGATCTGATGTATTTCATCTTTTTCACTCTTATCTCATGAATTAATTATTTAATGACATAAGAAAAAAAAGATTTAAACTGGCTAAATGAAATAATTTCTGTCAGCTCTCGTATATTTATGACATGTAATTATCTATAGACTTATTATTTCAATGATCATTCATAAATTAAAGAATCAATGTAATCTGTTGCTGATTTTAGGGCATGAAGAATTTGTGTCAATAAAATAAGATAAATTAAATCTTTTACGTTTGTTACGTGTTTCAGTATGAATATGTGTAGTTGTGAATCATCGTTATATTCGCACTCTATATCCATAACTTTTTCGTATTTACTAGTTGAACTATCAAGTCTTTCAGATGAACAAACAGAATGGTAGAATGTAAGAAATAATGTTTTCGTGCTTGAATATACTGGAGATTCATATAATCATCCTATTTTTTTTAGATTATTTTTTAGTAGATGTAGTTGTAGAGATGGCACACAGCCGCAAATCACCCAGACCCACTTACTATTACACATCCCATATCAACATACATATGCACACCTGCACCCTAAGACATCATGGCGATTAGGAATCAATTTTTTGTTTTTCCGGACTGCATATTTCTTAGAAGGAAGCATTTACAAATTTTGAGTCTATGATAACTTTTCTTCTACTCTCGAAGATCTCTCTAACCTTAGAGCTTCCAAATTTTCTCATGAACCTTTCTCCACAAATATTATCGAGTAGGAAGAACGGTGATCATAAATATCTTCAGTTTCTTGGGTCACTCAGCTCTTTTATTGCATGTACTTTCTTTAGTCCAGTATCACTTTTCTATCTTGATCTATTTTTCGAGAACAACTTGTTTATCAATCCTCTGATTCACCAAATATAATGAGTGAATATGAACATAATGTCATTTATATACTTGGTGGAATATTTCAAAAAAGTAAATCATTTTTGCATAATCGATTCGAATCTAGAAAAATGAAATCTTTTTATTTAAGCAAAGCATGGACAAATTCGACATCAATCATTACCGCTTCAAAAATATCTTAGGTACATTCTACAAATAATATATCAGTAATTCAAATTTATTTTCATTATTTATATAGATTTTCATCAATTTCAAATACTGTTTTGTCAGTTAATCAGGTATATAATATGTTAATGACACTTAAACACAATAATAACAATTGGTTGGAAGTATTAAAATGCATTTCTGAACGTTGTCTTATCGGGTAGTTGAAGTTATACTTCTGATTGTTCATTTATATGTTATGAATGAATCAATAAATGAAGAAACTCATGATATTTATATTTGATTAAGAAGATTATTTTGTTTCAAAAGTAAAATATTTCATACAAAAAAAAATAAGTATAACAAATATAATTAGGAAAAAGATAGATATATACACGGATATCAGTGACATATATCCCAAAATTAAAAAAGTAAGCAGAAAAAATTTTAAGAAAAATCAGGAATTGTAAAATTTATCCTGATAATGATGTTCAGAATCAAATCTGCATAAACATGAATAAAGCAAGCATTATTGGTTAAAATTTGAACTTAATTCGGTGCGATAAACGTTAATGCTGGTCAAGGAAGAATCTATTGTGCAACAAAATAATTTTTCTCCAGAGGATGTACATCAGGGTATGCATCTTCTCTTCACTTACCTATATCCACACCTATACTATATTAACCAACGAAGAATTGAATCGAGTTGGTGCTGGAGGGTGTGTTTATGACATGGTAAATGTATCCATAGATTAGATTAAAACAAGTACAAATTTTTTAAACAAAATTATTGAAAATATACCCGTTGATGACAATGGGCATGAAGTATTATCCGCTGTTACAGCAACTAGCACACCACAATATGTGATACTATCTAAACTCGCCATATGTTCACTACCTTTATCACATGAAAATAGTGATGTAGAAACATATTTTTCTCAAAATAATTATCTTATTTCAGATAATCGTCCATCATTAAGTGAAGCATCTATCAATGGTTTCAGAGCTACCAATGGTGATGTCAAACTCTTTGATGCTGGGTTAAACTTATATGATATATTCGCCTCATTGATTTGAGATGATTTTATCTGTTTTCAAAGTGCATGGAACATCTGGCCTGCTTTTAAACGTTCAACAGGCATATTTACATTATGTAAAAGATAATGAACACGAAAAAATTAATTAAAAGCATGACTGTGAATAATTGAAAACGAGCTTCTTCTGTCGAGCATGAACGATTTGATAAAATGGAAATCCAATTGTTTAACAAACAAAGGAGTTTATAACAAGTATTATCTAAAGCAACTAAAACTTTAGAGGAAGGAAATACAGAAGTTGTTGCAGCTATAAACAATAAGAAACTAGATGATATTGCCGCAGCTGAAGTTCTTGTAATAGCTGCTAATGCTAAGTTAGCTGTTTTGAAAACTCAATTATTTGACAATAGTGAGTTCTTGAATTGACTACGAAAAAAACAGAAGAAATGAATAATTAAAATAAACATTATTTGAACATTATTCTTTTTTTTTTGTTTAAGATACTCAGTAAATATTTGTAAATCAATTTTAAAAAATAAACTATTCTAAGTGAACTTCTTTTTCACGTTTTTGACCCGCGCAGACCTCAAGATTGGTTCACAGCGCAGGTCTTTCTTCTCATAGACAAGTGTTTAGACGTTTGCATGAATTATGCGCACATTTCGAGTAATTAATGCGCTGAACAAATAAGAATTGTACGCATTAGCATTTTTGAAAGGTTCAACTAGACTAGATTAGAATAATAATAGTAAATCTATTCAAGACGAAAGATTGTTCTTCACCACGTATGTTGTCTGAGGCTAATAACTCCCGTCGCCTTATTTTTAGCCATGCATATTAAAGTGTGTATTGTTTAAATTGTGAACTTTTATCACAAGTATATAACACGCATAAAATTTGAGACGTTTTTCCATTGATGTTTTTGCTTATCAATGCACCCCCTTCTGTTTATATTTCAAGCGTAAATGTTACTCAGGAGTCCTTTCAGTTATCTAAGGTGAAGAGGAACATGAAAAATTTTACAATTTACTCCTCGCTCCGAAGAATTAACTAGGTTTCTTCATGATCACAACATATTAGGCTCTCCATTTTGTTGCCTGAACAAATAACTTTTGTATATTATTTAATAAATCAAACCGTTTGTTTTTTTGTTATCTCGTTTATGCTCGACGCTTTGTGATATTCTTTGCAATGAAATCAATAGAAATGTAACGATGATGACGGCCAGTAGTACGGTTGCCGATCTACGCCGATAATCGATTTTTTACCGTCATTCACCTTGCGAGGAGATTTACTCTCATAATTTTCCAATTTGACGTTTATACTAAGGAAACTGTTTTTTGGGAGAATATTGATTATCTACAAAGTTTTATCAAAGGTAAGCAGGAACGACGAATCTGAATTCGGAATCAGTTTCTTAAAATTGTACACTTTAGTTTTTAAGTCCACTCCTACAAGGGGCTTT